GATGGTTTTTGTTGTCACTGAAGTTCAAGCTCTGTCGATTCATCCAGTCACTTCCAGGAAAGTTGCATGGTGCACCTGCCCAGATGCCATGAAGCTGTGTTCTCCATTTCCGCTTTCCACCAGTCCCTCACAAGTTTCTCGCTCACTTCAAACTTTCTTTCTGCTGCTTGATTACCGTTTTCTGAATATTTCACTTTTAGTGGCAGGACAGTGACTTTTTCTACAGGAGGCATGCGCAGTAAAGTGCGAAGTGACAGTGGTACAGGAGTAATAGTGGTCTATTCATTCTTTGACCTGTTGTAGATTTGGGACATGAGTGGTCTGTCAGGTTTTGGGACAAAGACCATTTGAATATGATCGACTGTCTCCATAAACTATGAAAGTTACACTGCCCTCTTTATTCATAATGAATGTGATTTGAACACCTTTGGTTAGGAAGGTTATTCAGATGTCTGAGACGAGCAGACACGACCGATGTGCTTTCAACAGTCATACAAATGATCATGAATATAAAGTGCTAAATGATATTGACTTAATGAGGCACAAGCACAGATTTCATTAGGGAGGGACAAAGTTAAACTCATTTGTCAGTGCACACGTTTGTTTTAGGCTGCTGTTTATGAAGATGGAGCTGCAAAACATCTTATTACAACAGTTGAAGAAATGACTCAAGTAGGAGTAAGAATGTATTTGAGTAAATGCATTTTTAATGGATGGGGATTTAATGGGGATGGGAACATATAAACAATAATATGGTTTATCGGGTTTATGAGAGTAGAAAATAAGCGTTTGTGGGATATTTATATAATCATGAGAATCAAACAAAGGGAATCACAATTTTATCAGCAGAATTTGCAGTGACAAATGTTCAAATCATTTCATATTGTCACATAAACTTTTGTCACTTTAGATTGACTCACAGTGGGAAGAGGAAGCACAAGTTTTACTCAAATAAGAGTACTGTTACACTGTCAAGTATCATAACAGAGAAGTATAATTTGTATTCAAATAAATGCAACCAGGTACTACCCACCTTTGGTTAACAGCGCTGTACCTTCACACTTATTTCACATGTACTTTAAAATGAGAAAAACAGAACTAATTGATTTCATTTTAAATAGTTTGCAGTGCTCCAAAGTTATTCCTTACTTCACCAGCATTCTGAACATCCTCATTATTCACAGCAATAAGCTCTTTCACAGAGACCAATGGAGAGTTTGCTGTCACGCAAAAGCAAACAACAAGCAAACAACTGCTTATACAATAGAACTGTACTGCGGCAAGACACTTTTTGCTTTAGTTTATGTGAAAATATTCAGTACATGCCCTTAAACCAATGGGCCTGGTCAAGCAGAAGTAAACATCAAGGCCAAAAATTCAAGTGAATGCATCTGATATAAAAATGTATTCAACAGATACATATGTACTCTAGTTTATGAAACTGTTGACCTTTTTTTTGTACCATTTTTGGTTCTAAAGTTCCATATGTTTTAAACAGATCATGTATGAAACATGGAACAAAAATTATTTCCCAAATTTCAAAGACCTGCAAATCATGTCAATAAATGGATGTATTTCATCATATCTTGTGTTATTCCATCTTTGAACTGTTGATGAAGGGACATGATTTTTCCAAAAAAATGTATTTAAAATGATAAAAATTTGCTTGGAAGGACTGACATATTTTATAGAAATAGTTTCCTTTCATTTTGAAGTAATATTAAAGTATTTGGAAGAAAAAAGCGACAAATGATGCAAAATCATGCACCTTGCTTGTACAATTTTCCCTCCGTTACTTTTCCCTCCGTTACCATGACCTTTCTTAATAAAAAATCTCATGAGTCAAAAAGTAAGACGTTTTTCAACCTAATCTTGTACCATATGGTAGAAAACTATATGAAGCAAATATTCAATCCAGTTTGTTAAGGATATGTAAGTGAGAACCAAGAGTTATCACTGTTTGGATTTATTGCACAAAAAGTGCTGCATAATTCATTCCCTCCGTTACCAACATGAGTTTTTTGTCAAAAACTTGAAAGAATATCACAGGTTTAACTTTACCCTGTTGGAGTGTTAACTCTTTCCTACATTCTGATACTTTACTTATTTCAATAGTCCCTCTAATTTCTGAATAAGAGACATTTGAATGTAAAAAATCTGCCCGTTTCCCTCCGTTACCACTTGACCAGACCCCAATGACAACCTGCTACTTTTGCTACTCTGTCCTCTCCGTCCATCCTCTACACCCATCTTCATCGCAGCAGCAGAGCCATCAGCCTACTCAGCCTCTCCATCTCCTCCTCTATATTCCATGTCCTCCACGACCACGATCACGATTCGCGATCAGCGTCTGTGCTCCTGTCTGCTGATCCTCTCTCTTTAAACACTAAACAGCATCAGAAAGTTGAAATAGCTGCTTCGCTCCGTACCTGAGGGCCTTGATGAACAGATGGAGCACAAATTGACTAAAGTGCGAGCTGCTAATGTAATCTGAAGTGAAGGTTAGAGGGGGGCATGCAAAGTCCCGTGACATATCAGGTTATTATGTCGTTTACTCTGAACTCCAGTGTGAATCACAGAACACAGAGCTCTGGGTTCTATGTCCCTGGCTCATGGTAAGTACTTCTGTCACACATGAAAAGTCCGTCTACGAAGAGGTCTAACTGAATTCAGATCAGGAACACAACATGAACAGAACTACATCTGGCCTAGAGATGATTTCACCTGTGCATACTCAAACTTTTTAGCTACTTAAAAAATAAACATCTCTATTGGAAGCACAGTTATCTTACAATGCTGACAGGTAGTTTGAAATAAGAAATAATATCAAAAAAAGATGCACTATGTAGTCGGGGTATGTAGAAGGGTTCACCAGATGCTAACCAGGCTGGGTGGTGTTGACTGCTTGCCTCCATGGAGAAAGATGGCAAATATAAATGAGGTACTGTGGAACACAAAGCTCATCAGGGAGACAAGAAGGTAGTGAACCCTCCACAAGAAACATAGGGCTCCTTTAAAATAAAAGGAAGTAAGATTGTCACATTTTATTGTGACTAAATACTGTGAAAGAAAGGCTACAGTACTGTGAAAATGTATTTGCCCTGTTACCGATTTCTGACTTTTTTGCACCTTTGTCACTCTTGGCCATTTCAGATCAAGCTAAATTAAATATTAGACAAAGGTAACTCTGCAATTTTATTTATTAAGGGGAATAATCCATCTGAACCTACATGACCCATGTGAAAAAGTAATTGCCCCCTAAACCTAATAACTGTCTGAACCCTGAGCAGCAACAACTGCAGACAAGTGTTTGTGGTAACTAGCATGAGTCTTTTACATTTCTGTAGAGGAATTTTGGTCCACTCTTCTTCGCAGAATTGTTTTAAATCAACCACATTGAAGAGTTTCTTTATAAGGTCATGCCACAACATCTCGATTGGGATAAGGTCTGGACTTTGAGTAGGCCACTCCAAAACACTTTTTTTTTTTAAAGCCATTCAGAAGTGGACTTGCTGGTGCGCTGTGGATCACTGTCCTGCTGCAGAACCCAAGTGTTCTTCAGCTTGAGGTCATGAACTGATGGCTGGACATTCTCCTTGGTTGGTGGAGCAGAGTTCATGGTTTCTTCAATCACAGCAAGTCGTCCAGGTCCTGAAGCAGCAAAGCCCGAAACCATGACCCTACTATGACCATGTTTCACTGTGGGCATCATGTTCTTTTTATCAAATGCTATGTTCATTTTACGCTAGATGTAACGGGATGCACTCCTTCCAAAAAGTAAAATTTCTGTTTCATCAGTCCACAGAATATTTTCCCAAAAGCTTTGGCGATCATCAAGACGTTTTTGGCAAAAGTTAGACAAGCCTTTATGTTCTTTTTTGTCAGCAGTGGCTTTTTCCTTGGAACTCTACTATGCATGCCATTTTTGTCTTGTTTCTTTCTTATGGATGAGTCATGAACACTGACCTTTACTGAGGCGAGTAAGGCCTGCAGTTGTTTAGACATTGTTCTGGATTCCTTTGTGACATCTTGGATCAGTCGTCGCTCTGCTCTTGGGGTAATTGTTGTAGGCCAGCCTCTCATGGGAAGGTTCACCACTGCACCATAATTTCTCCATTTGTGGATAATGGCTCTCACCGTGATTCACTAGAGTCCCGAAGACTTACAAGTGGCTTTGTAACCTTTTCCAGACTGAGACATGTCAATTACTTTTCCCCTTATCTGCTCCTGAATTTCTTTGGATGGTAGTGTGATGTCTTGGGTTCAATACTACTTCAGAACCTTGTCAGACAGGTTCTATTTAGGTGATCTCTTGATTTGAAAGGTCTGGCAGCATCAGGCCTGGGTGTGGCTATGAAATTGAACTCAGCTTTCCACAATAATATGATTAATCACAGTTACTTCATCATTAAACAAGGGGGGTAGTTACTTTTTCATACAGAATCATGTAGGTTTGGATTGTATTTTTCTCTTAACAAATACAATCATCACAGAAAAACTGAATTTTATGTTTACTTGCGTTTTGTTTGTTTAATATTTAAATTTGTTTGATGAAACAGTTAAGTGTGACACACATTCACAAAAGTAAGAAATCAGGAAGGGGACAAATACTTTTTCACAGGGCTGTATTTAAAATGGGTCTCATTTTCTGACTCAGTGAAAAACTTACTTAAACCCTTTACTTGACATTCATTCACATGCTCTAGCAGCTTCACTGACCCAAATCAATGTTATCAAAATGTGTCATGTTTGAGTGTCAAAGAAATGAACGTCAGATTGTGAAGAGCTTACATTTCTGTGTTTCAAGTGGGTATCATTTATAGGACATCTCACTGAACAAAACATCTCATTAACAGTCAAACTAATTAACCTTGAAGAAATAAATCTATCTAAACTACTGTAATTAATATCAATCTTCTGAATGAAAGTCATTAGAGCTTGTGTAGCTCTCCTTTTGTCTGTGTAATCCTCAAACACAGTGTATTTGTGCGCTCACTCACCTTGACCAGCACGTCAGGGCCAGAGCTGGTCTGCAGGCTGAAGTGAGCGATCTCAGGACTCAGACCAGTCTCCATCTGAGCGTACATCTGATGACACGTCTCCATCAGCTCCAGGGCCAGATCCATGTGGGACCCTGGGAGGCCGTGATGGGCCCCCAGAGCCAGGGTCCCAGGTAAGAAGCACACCAGGTGGTCCTGATCACATGTTTTGAAGATGAGCGGGAAACAAAAATATAGTTGATTTATTTCTCATAGATTAGAATACTCAGACAGCTCTGCCAGAACACACTCTGTCCAGTGATTTCAAGTCACAAGAAGTACACAGAAAGAGAGAAAAAGAGCTTATGCACAGCGGGGAGGAGCAGAGGGCCGGGTCTGTGATTGACAGCTGTCACAGGGATGCGACAGTGGGCAGGTTCTATAAAAGGAGTACCTAATGAGCAGGTCAATATTGAAGCTGGGCAATTAAACACTATTTTAGTTATTTCTTTAATTATATTCATTGATTCATTCATTATGCAAAATTGACTTTAATTCATGTTGTAAATGTAAAAACAGACCCGGAGCTGTGTTTTGTTGTATGTAGTGGTAGTTTTCAAGTGAACAGCTCCTTTTACCGTTAGTTCAGTAGAGACTGAGAATGCCAAGTCTGAAATTATCCAAATAATTCTAATGTAGGGAATATGTTTGAGTTTAAAAACACAGTAAAGCACTTCCTGTATTACCACATGACATCACAAATGTTTTTTGTTTGAAGGAAAAACTCAGGACTCAGGACATCAAAACACAACTCCAGGTCTGTTTGTGATGAGTAAACAACATTAGAAGATAGATCAGAAAACAGCGTCATATGGGCCCTTTCTGAATTCATGAAAGATTCAAGAAAACATGATCAGATCACACGTACCATCTTTGCGTTGAAGCGGTTGTGGCTGAGCTCTCCCACAAACGTCAGGCGGCTGGGGCCAGTCTGTCGAACCAGGTGCTTCCTCACGCCCTCTATGGCCTGGAGATAATCCTCCAACAGGCTGCAAATTAAAGTAAGCCATCAACAGGGGGCGCAACAGAGTCTATTCCACAAGTGCTTTCATTTCCCTACACACATTCAAGCTACAGTACATACAAAGGAAATCTAGTAAGGATGTAACAAAATTGGCAATTATGATTTTAGAACAACAAAAGTCCCAAAATATTATATTAGGGGGAGTGAGGAGTGAGGAGGAGTGGGGTCTGGAGTCAGCTTTTCTAAAATAAAACACTAAGTTGGTGGGTAGTTTTGATGCAGCAGTAAAAGAGAAATAGCAAAATACTGTATTTAACTGTCAATATAAATCAATATGGTATCATTAGTATTCCAGAAGTATTTGGCTGCACTCACTCATCCTCCACCTTGCCCCCCTGAATCCACTGCTTGAGGAGGTACTCGTAGTAGCTGTCAGCGCGGGCCCCCAGAGTGAAGGCCCCTTTGTGGGAGAACTGTCCAGTGTTGGTGTTGATGAACATGGGCACCAGGCCGTCGTGCTTCCCCGGGAGTTTGTGCACCAGCCTCATCACCTCGTTCACCACGTCCTGCCCACATGGAAACACACAGAGATGGGTCAGGAGCAGTTTAGTGCATTTTACTGTGGCAGTTATGAAGAATCTGAAGGATTGCTGAAGAGAAAATATTAGTGCTCTCAAAAATATTGTGTTATTAACAAGTTAAAGCAAAACAATTTTATTGGTGTTAATTTTTTCCACATGAGATTGATGCTCTTTCTGATGTAGTGAACTAGTTTTTTTCATAAGCTGTGGACACTGCTGTAATGTTAGAAAAGCTACAGGACCCGGCTGTAAACCAGAAGCAAAACAATTTGTACAAAACTGAGAAGTCCCGGTTGGTGGGCCAAAGCATGGCACGGTTGCTCATGTACGAGCACATGCACAACTTCACTATATGATCCATATCAAGTGCTCTGATGTTATTCAAAAGAGGAAAACATGGAATAAAGTAAACTCCAAAACATACATGAAATCCGTGCTGACCTTTGATAAGGACTGTGGACAGCGACAGAAGATTTGCAGCCTTGTCTCTGGCTGTCCTCTACTGCGCTGTTTTTTTTAATGGATATACATAAACTCAGAGGAGCATGTATCGCAGCAGGACTCATATCAGTCTCACTATTTAATAGATATTTCTGCTGCTGGACTTATTTTCTCTGCTAAAGCGTTTGCTCTGCTGCGCCACATGTAAACAAACAGCACTGTATGATGACGTTATGGTGCTGTGGCCCGTTTCGGTTGTTTCACCCATAGTTCTGTGGTTTCACTCCACAGTTGGAACTTCATTTGCTTTGACTGTTAGTAAGACAGAAGAGAGCACACTGTTGCAGAGCACTTCATGAAAGTGGAACATCAAACACAAGTTGTCTCACTGACAATTATTATGCTTTGCAATAAAACAACAACAACAAAAAAACGTTTACACAAAGCCTATCCACTTTTCTATGTTGATAAGAGAATTAAAATGAAGATTCAAGGGACAAAAATGTGTGGTTAATTTGCAAGTAATCGCGAGTTAATCATGAGATTAATCACAATTACATATTTTAATTGATCAACAGCACTGGAAAATATAGATGATAAATGTTAATACTGAAACTAATCATGTCACTGACATAATAAACAAAGAGCAGGATTATCCCACAAGAACTACTGTAAAATGTACAATACGATAAAATACAAACTCAAAATGCTCTGTTCCATCTAGTGATGTCATTTACTCAAACTTTTCAATTTAACAGCTCCTTTTACCTTTTGTTCAGTAGAGATTGGCAATTCTACGGCTGAAATTATCCAAATGATTCCAGTGAAGGTGTGTGGAGTTTAAAAAACACAGAACCTTCTGTAGTGCTTTCTGAAAATAGCGTAATATGGGCCCTTTAAATATCATGGACCTTAGGGGTGTTTTTTAGCCTGTGGCTTTTAACATCACTTGAGTTGTGTGGTCTTCTGTTGTCTTTTATTGATTTGTTTTTATTGTTTTATTTACTGATACTTTTTATTGTGAGAAACAGTTGGTTTTATTTTAGTCTGTGCAGCACTTTGGGAACAGTCTTTGTTTAGAAAATGTGCTATAGAAATAAAGTGGATTGGATTTTCAAGCCCAGAGCCACATTCAACAGCTCACAAGCTCTTAACCACTTTTCGTTTTATGAAGATAGACCTCATATTTGCCGAGCGGTGATCGTTTTCCTCCTAATTGAAAAGCCACATTCATTTCCGCGGGCATGCACAGGAGACTTAAAGGTCCCATATTACACAAATTGACAGCATCTCAGAATGCCGTTGCCTCATCAAACACATACCCGGAATTGTGTTGTTGTGTTTCATTAACAAATTGAAAAACCTTGTGATGTCATGTTGTGGTAATTCAAGTTAACAGCTATCTTTTACCTTTTTGTTCAGCAGAAATAGGCAATTCCATTTCCCATTCCAGAGCTCTAATCATCCAAATCAATCTAATGAAGGTGTATGGAGTTTAAAACACACTTGAGCACTTCCTGTATTACCATATGACATCATAAAGTGGAACAGAGTGTTTTTTATTTGAGAAAAGAACCTAAATATGCAGGGTTTGTGTGTTAAACATGTGAATGAAAACAGTCTAGAGCACTGGTCTCCAACCTGTAGCTCGGGAACTACTAGTAGCTCTCTACTCTTCCAAGTGGCTCGACAAAAAATTTCTGAATTATCTGTATTCATATTTACTAGTGATGGGCGAACAGAGCCTCGTGAAGCATTGACACCTCAGCCGCAATATTGTCTCAAATGGTTCGATGTGTCTGAGGCCTTGGAGAAACACTGACCTCTAGTGGACAAATTTAGCCATTGTCACGCAGGTGTCTCAGCATCGATGAAGTATTATTAGTGTAAGACCAGACTTGTGTGCAGAGCGACACCGTACCTAACAACAACAATAATAATGATGATTTTAAATAATATGTAAAGAGCAACATAAATATCATGCTGTAAATAAGAAAAGAGATTAAAGTGATCCCAAACCAAAGTGATCCCAAACTATGGATCGCTTTTTTCCACTTGTAGATGCCAGCGAAAATGAAACAAATGCCAAAAGTCACCAAAAGTCACCAAAATCACCACTAACGTCACACAATCCTCCTCATTACCCAACATTTTGAACAAATATTGCATCTTTACCTCCGCCAAGGAGGTTATGTTTTTGCCGGCGTTTGTCTGTTTGTCTGTTTGTTTGTTTGTTTGTTTGTTTGTTTGTTTGTCTGTTTGTTTGTCTGTTTGTTTGCTGTTAGCAACATAACTCAAAAAGTTATGGACCGATTTTGATGAAATTTTCAGGATTTGTTGGAAATGTGAAAAGGAAGAAATGCTTTCATTTTGGGGGTGATCCGGAAGAAATCCTGGATTCTGGATCACTTTGAAATTTTAGTTAACATTGTGGTAAATGGGGCCAAAAATTTTGTTTCTCAATATCTCGGTTAATTATTGACCAAACCCCATGAAATTTGACTCAGGGATGGACAATGGGATCCTCTTTCATATTCCAAAGGCTGATCCGGATCTGATCCAGAAGACTGATTTTATCGCAATTTATATAAAAAATGGGGGTAGTCCTTGGCGGAGGTCTGCACTCTCTGAGTGCTTTTCTAGTTTATACTGTAGCAGTTTAGCTAGCGCTTGTCAAACCACGGAAGTGCGCTGAACACTCTGAAACCATCTGAATCCATGGATTCTACCTGGACAACTGAGGGATTCTTCACACTCTGAAACACCCTGAACCAATCGCAGAATGGAACATTCGCTGAGCCAATGAAAAGCTTCGATACACTGAAGTGATTGACACGCAGAGTGAAGCAGTAGGGGGAGGGGCCGACACTTCCACACTTTGGTCACGTGAGCGGCTGCTGCGAGACGAGCTCCGAGGCAGTGCTTCACAGCAATTTGTTTCAGAATGAACAAGACGTGCTCCGGAGCTCCGACTCATTTGCCCGTCACTAATATTTACCGACTATAAGCCGCTTCTTTTTTTCTCACACTTTGACCCTGAGGCTTATACAACAATGTGGCGAATATATGGATGGGTTATTTGTTTATGAACACAGTGGATGTGCACAGCCTGAGTGCAGAAAGTGCCGCTGTGTGTGCGGTTCACATGAAGTTGCAGTGTTAGCTAGGGCTGTTGTCAGCACTAAAACAGTTTATCAGTGTGTGATAAAATAAGTTCTGATGCGAAATAAACATTAGTGAGCAGGATACAGCTTAATGACACGTATGTGTTAAATGCAGGTGAGTGTGTAAATGACGAGAAGAAACATCTCAAACTTCAGTAGACGGACATCCACTAAACCTGATCCATACACCTATCTCCAGCCCCCAGGAGAGGCTGAAATCTGCTGAAATCCTACAAGACACCGACATGACACAGACAGAACAGAGACTCTTTCTGCAGTAGACATGTGCAGTAGAGCCAAGTGCAAGAGCGAGACAGACAAGTGGAAGAGACGATGAGCCGAGGAAGATGCTCGTTTGATTGTGTTTTGAACAGTTATTTTTCGCTTCATGCACACACCCTCCTCATGGAAATCACATGAAGAAAAACAGATGATGCAGCTTTTAAGTTAAAGACAATTGATCTGGCTGTGGAAGAAGGAAATAGAGCTGCTGCTGTTGGCATCAGTGAGTTGATCGTGAGACGTTGGTGACAGCAGCGTGATGAACTGACTCAACGCAAAAACACGACAAAAGCTTTCAGAGGCAAAAAAAGCAGATAGCCCCAACTCGAAAATGTTCCTGAAGACGTGGACACCTGGCGCTTATAGAGACACTTGTCTATATATGTACAATTGTTTTTTGTTTTGTTTTTTTCTTTTAAAATTGAGTTGATGCAGCTTATATTCAGGTGCGCTCAATGGTCCACAAATTACAATACTCTGTTTCTTGCTACTGCCAAAATGAGTAGCTCTCTGGCATTTTCGTTATGTGTAAAGGTAGCTCACAGGAGGAAAAAGGCTGAAGATCCCTGGTCTAGAGGCAGAGATAACAGGGAGACGAGGGGGCCCGTTAGTGAATGCTACAAGCTCAAAATAATGATTCAATCTTTCATTAATAATAAAACAGACTGGAAGAAAAAAAGACATGAGTCACTCAGTCCAGAACTGCCACTGGAAGCACAGAAAAAAAACAAAAAGTTCCCCAATAGTGCAAAGTAAAAGCACCCAAGCTTGACCGCTGATCCCCAGAAAGTACAGTTCCATCGATCATTTATGAAACGTTAAGATGATTTAGTAATAATCATAACAGGCCTATCCATTAGCCTTCTCACAATATTAGAATTTGTGTCATTCTGAAATAGGGAGACATTACATCACTACATCCTCTGTGGGTTGGTCTCGCTGTAATCCTACGTATGAGCTCGTTTCAAACCTGGTTATTGGTTGTTTAATCCTTCTTATTTGATCACAGTCTAACAACGTTATGCTCTGTGACATGCATAGATTTACTGTAAACCAGGTGGTCCAATTACACAAAGAGTGAGGAAGACACATGGATAT